TCACTTGCGATAAAGAGTGTAAAACATTTTTTCTTGCTTAAAATTACCATAAAAGAAAAATTTTTAACAAAACGGACACGATCAGGAGAGAGTTTTTTTTTTTTATGTACTTGATATATTTAATATATATACTTAATATATTTGATATATCTAATATATTTAATATCTTTTTTTATTTATTTTTTTTTATATATAATTGTTTTTATCTTTAATAATATTAATATATTTTTTTAGTTTTTTAAAAATTTATGATAAATATAAAATAAATATAAAAAAATTTTAGATATTAAAAAATAAAAAAAATATATTTGATTTTTTAATTTCAAAAAAATTATATATAAGAAAATGTTTTTTTATTTTAATTTTTATAAATAATTTAATATTATATTAATTGTATTTAAAATTTGTTTGTTTTTTATTTTATTTTATATATATTATATGTTTGTTTTAATATTTTATAATTAATTATTATAAAGTACATATTGTAAAGGTAATAAATAATAAGAATTTTTTAATATTATTAATTGTTTTTTTTTATAAAAAATTTTTAAGTTTTTTATATAGTAATTTTAATAGATATAATATTAAAAAAAAGATTTATTATTATTATTATACCATATACATTTATTAATTAATTTTATATTAAATAAATAAATTGGTTTTTATCAATAAATATTATTGATCAACAAATTTTCATCAATGAAATTTAAATAAAATATTTATTTTATAATAAATCAAAATAACAATTTTTGATTTTATTGATATAATTATACTTATTAAAATTAAAATAATGATGATAATAAATAATGATAATACTAATACTAAATATTGACAGATTTCTTATTTATAAACAACAAAATAAATTATTTTATTATATTTAAAATATTGAATTTTTATCATTTTTTGTTGATATTAAATTTATAAAATTTTATTGTGATTCAAAAGGTTATATAAAAATAAAATAAAATTTATGAATGGCAACAAATTAAATTATTGATTTTTTTTTTTCAAAAAAAATATTTATTGTCAAATTAGGTAACACGTGTTGACCTGCCTGTGGCACCAGTGAGAAAGTGTTGTTTTGCGATCGCGCAAATTTAATTAATCCTTAAAGAAAAAAAAGATTTAAAATTATATAATCGGTATGGGGTAGAAATACAAAATTAGAAAAACCCACGTATCTTTTTGTCGACGTGCAATTTAAAAGTACATATTGAAGCTAAAGTGTGATATTATGTAATGCATGTTTGTCGCACTCAGACTTCGTTAGTGGCACAAGAATTGCGGTATCACAAAAGCATGTCTATTCAGACACGAAGAAAATAACCGGTTCCTTACTCGATCGACGATAACGACAGACGCAAGAGACAAAGTATATTCAACCTTGTTGTCTTTGATGGGAAAAAAAAACCGGAAAAATTCTAGAAAAGAATCGAAGTTTGGCGCGCATTCATGGTAAAAGGTTCTTTGTGCGTTGCTTGAATCAGCAAACTTTTATTTGTAAGGGAATTACTATTACCGTCAGACATCATCAAAAGGAAGAAACCGATCACCAACAATTGGCCGCGATTAGTAAGTGCGTGATCATCGTCCCACCGCCAAAGGTGTCAAGTTCATTCCCGGCAGATATTACGTCATGATTTCGGTCAGCAGAGAGTAATGAAATATGAGTGCGCCAATGACCAACCATTAACAGGCAACCAATTATGGAATGGTGAATGTGTAAGAAAAGGATAATTTAATTGAAGTGTTAAGGTACGGTATTTAAGCAGACTATTAAGGTTTTTTTCGAGTGTAAACCGTAAGGTCCGAAGGACGAATGCGCATGTAGGAACGCTACAACAAAGAAATCACTTGCTATTCGTGTTTTGAAACCAGACAAAGAAACAAATAAGAGAAAGCCAAGAACAAATAAAGGAACAAATAAGAGAAGATTTTTTCTCTTAATACATACTTTAAGTGATCAATTGTATACATGACACGCCATCCAACATTGATATTGATTGTTGTATACATAATCGACACTTTGCGTCAACAAAAAAATCACGTAAGCAGAGCATAAATCATTCAAATACATAAGAGTCAACGACACACTTAAATTTTGAAGATCAGATCAAACGTAAAGAATGATATGTATATAACTTTCCATTCACACATAATGAACATTAATGATGTCGCAGCCATAGATACCGAATGATATGTTGGCACGATATCAAATTCCGCTTCAGAATACAACTTAATTAGAAATCAATGTCATTTCCACAATCTTCTCAAAATTATCAAGAATAAAGGAAAAAAAGATAAAAATAAAAATCTCAAAATAAAACTGTACTGTATGTATATACAGTATTATATGACGCTTGTACACCAATACCATCAATGGCATCTATAATGGCTCACAACCGAATGGCACAATTAACTCCTAAATTTACCAGACAATGAAAAATTGATCGATTCGATTCAGGGGAGTTTTCATCATTAAATTAATTATTATCTGTTATAGTGCGCGCGCTGAAAACAAAACGAACTTGGAGATCTTCTTTGTATCATTATACGTACGCGCACATGCACACACGCACATGGAAGTATTCCTGACAATAGAATAAGATAATGATCACAAAGAGGATCACTCAATTATTGTTTTAGATCGGAAATTTTTCAATAAAATTATAGATCATCAAATGGTTTTACGCGAAAGAATCAATTGTGAAATTGCGCAGATCATACTTGAAATGTCGACAGGTTTTCCAGTGACGACTTGAGTCGTTGTCTTCGCTCAGAGAATAATGAATCAAGAAAAAAAAAACGCAAGGGTCTGATAAAAAAAAAAGGAGATTTTGATTAAAAGATCAATAAGATGAAATACCATTCCAATGGAATCGCTGTTGATAGTCAACGACAACCACTGCATAGGTGTACGTACATGAATTTAGAAAATATCAACACACGAATAATCATGTTTGAAATTTCGTCATTATAGTCGGCATTTCCGAGAAATTATTATTCGTCAACTCAACAAGTGTTATATATTTCGGCGCATACCGGAGCACATCATATTGTTATCATCGAATTTAAACGTCACCATAACGAATCAATACAGTATTATATTGGTATACCGTGCATCTAATATATTTTTATCACAGTTAAGGGGGTGAGATTTCTGCCATACCAGTTTCTACCTTTGATAAGAGTATTGAGGCGAAGATAATTACGTCATACAATAGCTTATGGAATATGCAAATTGTGATATAAAGTGAATTAACAGAGTGAATTAAACAAAAAGAACCCGAATATATACCGATACTGTATCTGCGTTACTTGATTGTTTTTTTTTCTTAAAAAAAAAAAAGACCGCATTTGGAAGATTCGCCAGAAATCCTTTTTTCTATTTTTAATGCCTCCGTTAATTTCCCATTTTAATGCCCAACTTCCAGAGATTCTACGTTAAATTTTGATTATTTATTATTGTACATAGCAGCAAGTAAAGTTATTTTACTTTTAGATCTGGATTCCAAATTTTTCACTTAATCAATTATATGCTCAACATTACCAAATTCACTATCAGGATCATAAAATAATCAATATAAATACTCGCTCACTCCTTTCACCATAAAAAACCACGTTTCCCAACTCCCATTTTATCGCAAATTTACTCACGACCTCCCTTCTCCAATAGTTCGTTTTAACTTACCGCACTTATACAATTCTCCCCCATCTAATACTGTTACTATTTCATCTCTAATTATCTTAACACGAACCTCCCTTTCTCACACTCACTTCATTTCATCGCAAATTCAATTCCACATAAACACGCTCATATTTGATCTGTCCACGCGTACCCACCTCCTAGTCAACCTTTTCTCCTTGGTTATCCAAGTTCTTTCTTTCTCACTTTGGTGTTCCTTCTTAATAAGCGGCGCTGTTGGTCTGAGCTGGCTTATCCTTGTTATTCAATTTTCAATTTCTCCGACTCCCTCTCTTGGTAAGTACGTATTCTTTCTTCCTTCCTTCCTTCCTATCTAATTCCATCTTCCCCTTCCCGGGTTAAACGCTATCCCACGGTGTTGTGAGATGGTTGAACTTTCACGAGATAGTCACATCACCCGTTAGACATTCCTTTCTGACTTACGAAATTGGGTTTTTGTTCTTTCTCACTTTTAGTTTTTGGTTTTGTGAACAAGAATAGTTATCCCATTGTTCACTGTCACGGACAATTATCGCCCGATTGACTAAATTCGATCAACAATTTCATCAATATTCACCTTGTAGTTGAATCTGATTGGCTATCCA